CGCGCCCCGTCGAGCTCGCCAACATGCTGCAGAGCAAGTCCTTCGTCAAGAAGACGAAGCAGGGCCGCGTCGTCAAGGTCGCCGCTCGGCACCACAACCACCGCCTCGCCGAGGCCCCGCCGAAACCCTAGCTAACCCCCTCCCCACGTCTGCGCAGGTGGTCCGGGAGCACTACCTCCGCGACGACATCCCCTGCGGCGCTTTCTCCTGCCCCTCCTGCGACGCGGCCGCCCGCCGCCTCAACGCCGACGCCGCCGCCATCCTCGTCGTCGACACCAACGTCGTGCTCCACCAGGTGGCCCTGCTTTTCCCGCTCCCACCTATGGTCTCGTATTTAGCGTGCCTTGTGGGGTCAGGGGTCCCGATTGCTGATGCTCCGAGCGGTTGCTGCAGATCGATTTGTTGGAGAATCCGGCGATTGAGGATGTCGTGGTGCTGTCGGTGGTGCTGGACGAAGTGAAGAATAAGAACCTCTCCGTGTACAACAGGCTCAAGACCCTGTGCACCAACACCGCTCGGAGGTTCTTCGTGTTCACCAATGAGCACCACAGGTACGCCTGAATTCTACCCTTGGTTCTCCGAATTGCTGTTTTGGTCGATTTGTTAGATGTGAGTTTGGCCTTTGGTACATTTTCTTAGTTCCTATTTGAAGCAAAACTCGTTGAGATTTCTAGTCGATGTAAATGTGCACATATACCAGGTGGATATGAAAGTATAATTAGTCACTAGAGTGAGAAAATCAATGACTCAAGGAATAAGCTACTGAGATCACCCCTGCATCTGCTCTGAGTTTTTTTCTTGGAGCTATGCAACTGCTCTGATTCTCTGGCCGCATTTCTTAGAGTAACTAAGCTGACTTGCAGTAAATTATTTAAACTGGGCCAAGTTGATTCTGTCGATTTTGTCTTTCATAAAACTGTGTTCAAGTGGTGTTCCCTCCCAACGGCAGTTATCTTTGGAATGTACTCCCTCCGTTCCGATTTTGAACTAAAACCATGACGAGTAAATCGGAACGGAGGGAGTATGACACTTAGACCTGAACTTGAGCAGTATTTCCAAGATTGCACTGGCAAAATTTCTCTGCACGAGTTGCAGTGCAAACGTGCAACTAATTAGTAATTCTGCCTTTGTCCATTGAGACGTGTAAGCTGCCCACATCAGAACTTGCATCTGCTTAGAATCAGCGATGTTATTCTTCCCTGTTCTTATGGTTAGGATTAATCATTTACTGAAAAACATACAGGGATACTTATGTCAAGGAGATGGTTGGAGAGAGCCCAAATGATCGTAATGATAGAGGTACTGAGTTGCTTAGTTATATTTATGTACAGTTTATCTCATTTCCAGTTATTCTATGTACACTTTATGTACGCTCTGCTCTTTACTCGCCACTTCTTCTCTATTCAGCAATCCGTGTTGCTGCTCGTTGGTACCAGAGTCACCTCGGTGACAGTGCCAAAGTGTTGCTGGTAACAAATGATAGAGATAACAAAAGGAAAGCTACTGAAGAAGGCCTAAATGCAGAGACAGGTGCTAGTTGGATAGTCTGTTACATGAAATTCATAGCTGAATCCTTTACAATACTATTTTATGTTTGCCTCACAAACTATTTCTGGTTCCAGTTGAGTCATATGTACGATCGCTTGCGCAGCCTGGTTTGCTCGATTTGGTGGTTGTCCCAAGTAGCGGAGATGTTGCCATGGAAGATGTAGAAGATCTTAGACCATCCAAAAGGAAAATAGTTTACAATGAGGTATATACCAAGCTAGTATTAACTATGCAATTTTCATCTGCACGTTCTTGCTACAATAACCACCTAGTGTCAAATATAATATATGCTACCTTGATATTATTGTAGCATAAACCTATGTCGGAAATTACATCTGGTCTGCGCTGTGGAATTTATCATCAAGGGAAGCTTCGAGTTAATCGCTACAATCCATTTGAAGCATATGTCGGAAGTGAGAGCATTGGGGATGAGATTATTATCCGTGGGAGTTCAAATATGAACAGGTCCTTTGACGGAGATATAGCTGCTGTAGAACTCTTGCCACAGGACCAGTGGCATGATTCGAAGTCATTTATTGCTGATGATGATGGTATGTTGTTCATTTTTTGATGCATCTCATTTTTCTTATCTGATGGATGTTTCTGTTATTTCAGAAGATGATAATGAAGATGATGTCCGGTTGGTTCCAAATAGTGCTGATGATGCTCCACGAAACACAAATTCCACGCAATCAACAGTTGGATCATCAGCTGCTTCAGTCCCCAGTCGTCCAGTTGGACGTGTTGTTGGTATCATCAAGCGGAATTGGAATTCGTGAGTTCTATCTGATCTGAATGATATTTATCTAATTATGATCTCCTGATATGGAAAGATGACATCAGAATATGCACAATTCATTAGTCAATGTTAAATATTAACCCAGAAGGATATATCCTGCTCGTGTTTTTACGTCTATATGCCTGCATGCTGTATGTTGACAGCATTTCTGCCCTGCTACTTCACACATGTTGGTTTCAATATTCCGCAAAAAAAAAGGTTTCAATATTTCAGTCATTTCTTACAATCTTTGGTTGGTTAGACATGACATCACTATTTGTATGTTGCCAAGATTAAGCTAATACTTGTTCCATCCAGCAAACTATTTAGTTTATATTGCAACTTCAGTTGTTTTTGTGTATTGATGCATAAAAATGAAATACTTGTATACTGCAGGTATTGTGGATCATTGGAGCCAATGCCAATGCCTGCTGGTAGCGGGGGCGTTGCTCATGCTCTATTTGTGTCGAAAGATCGAAGAATTCCTAAGATTCGGATTCAAACTAGACAACTTGGGAATCTTTTAAATAAAAGGATTATCGTTGCAGTTGATTCATGGGATGTCATGTCTCGATACCCATCAGGACACTATGTGCGGACTATAGGAGATATTGGCGATAAAGAAACTGAAACAGAGGCAAGCTTGTATACCTAATTTTTATCACATCTCTTTTGTAGGAGCTGTAGTCCAGCCTGTGTAATCCAGTTAGTTGCTGCATGTTACGATGATGCATTTGATGCTAGCATGCTAACTGATATACACATAATACAGGTTGTCCTAATAGAGAATGATATTAACACAAGACCTTTCTCTACACAAGTCCTTGCTTGTTTGCCGCCTTTGCCTTGGACATTGTCACCCGAGGATGTGGCTAATCCTAATAGGCAAGACTTGCGGCATGTGAGAGTCTTTAGTGTGGATCCACCTGGTAAGTTAATCATGACAAGTGTACCCTATTCTTTTGTAGTTGAATTGCGTTCTTACCATTAAACTGCTATTTAGGTTGTAGGGATATTGATGATGCACTACATTGCACACCGCTTCCAAATGGAAATTTTGAAGTTGGAGTCCGTATCCTTTATCAGTTTACATCCTAGTATACAGTTCAATTTGCAATGGTTGTTAATCTTATTCTCTTCAATTTTTGAACTTGTACTTTTTGAGTTAATATTTGTCATTGTTCCTTTTTTTACTCGACAATGGCTTCATAAATTGTGAGTAGGATCTGTTGCATCTACCTGGGTTTGAGCTCATCTCATAAGTGTGCATATCATCATCATGTGATTTTGTTCTATATGCTTTTGCTTTTGCTTTAACAAACTCAATTCCTAAATCCTTTTGGTTGATAGACCATTACTCTTGGTGCACGGATTGCTCAATTTCAATAGGAATGCCAATTTCCAGGAATACTTTCCTCATGGAAAATGGGTTTGGGGGCATTCACAGTGGTTCATCACATAAGCTTGATTGTTTAATCATAATGAAAGAACCAAATCATGTGATTTTGTTCTATATGCTTTTGCTTGGATCAAACTCAATTCCTAATTCTTTTTGGTTGATAGACCATTGCTCTTGGTGTGCGGATTTACTCAATTTCAATAGGAATACTTTCCCCATGAAAAATGGGTTTGGGGGCATTCACAGTGCTCCATGTACGCATTGCCAATTAGGATTAAAGATTTGGTGGTGGGGGAGTTAATGAAGAGAGAGATGCAGGTTGTATCTCATACTAGATGCCACTAATTTGAGAAAAAACAATGTAGATTTAATGCTGAAGCATATGGCCAATTTAGATACAACACATTTAAATCAGGATTGTATCTATTCATTCGTTTAATGCATTATCTCACCAATAGATACAAACCATTGCGAATGCCCTAGCATTGCCGATGCAATAATTGGCTTTTTTACATTTTTTGGTTATGCTAGTCCTTGTTTCCGGGGGTCAAACTATTTTATCTCTGATCTTGACCTTGGGTAATGAAAGCTATATGTTGTCGGCAGGAGATATATGGGATGTGTTTCTTTCCCATTTTGTTCTACGCTGTTGCTATTGATGTGGAGATTTTGCAGTTCTTGACTTGGACTGACCAGATATTGCTGATGTCACTAATTTTGTCCATCCTGGTACCCCTCTTGATGAGGAGGCCTCTCAAAGGGCAACTTCTGTTTATCTTGTTGGACAACGAATTGACATGCTACCGAAGCCTCTAACTGAAGGTATTGTTTTCATTTATATGGCATGCACACTGAATTACTGATTACTGAATCAACTGCTTCGAAGCATTGCATTGAATTTGATAATACTCACGTTAATTTTAGTATGTATGAGCAGAAGCGACTCATTGTTTTCCCACATTTTGTTGTTTTTTAGATGTTTGTTCTCTTCGTGCTGATGTTGAGAGGCTGGCATTCTCCGTCATTTGGGTGAGCCTAATTGTGAAATTGTGTTTTTATGATGTTGATTTGTCTGATATACGGGGATATTTAAATGTGGCCATTAGGTTTTTGCTCTTGTTGAAAAAGGTTTGTTGTGTGGAGGCTACCCATAGTCCCTGCGTCCTACTAGCTCTATGATCCCCGAGTCCATAATACTATTCAAGCTCAGATGCAATGAATTATTTTGCACAACTTTCACCAAGCTTTTTCACTAGTGATTTGGGTCATTTGTCAATACACCCTAGCCTTTTAGTTTTATATACAATTTGTTCTTGCAATTCATGCGTAATTTGCTGTATATGCCATTTTCCTCAAAGAAAAATCTTCTCTGAGACTCTTGAGTGCAGAGTACGGTGTGCTTAGAAACTTACTAACGTGTTAGATCCAAGTCATACAATATGCCTACATGTTGGCTTAGGGCAATAGCTTGACATGGCATTTTCCTCAAAGAAAAATCTTCTCTGAGACTCTTGAGTGCAGAGTACGGTGTGCTTAGAAACTTACTAACTTGTTAGATCCAAGTCATACAACATGCCTACATGTTGGATTAAGGCAATAGCTTGGCATTTTTTATCCTGTGGTATCGCGAACAGAGTATTATTTCATCTGCCTTTGGCATTTGTTCTGTTCATCCTCGTGCGTCTTGAAGTGATTACATCTGTCTCTTTAAATGAGTATGCTAATTCATGTATCCTGGAGCTTTGAATTTTTTGAATGTTCTGTGTACAGGAAATGACACCTGATGCTGATATCATATCTTCAAGATACACAAAGAGTGTTATCAAGTCTTGTGCTGCAATGTCTTATGTAGAAGCCCAAGCAAGAATGGATGACAGGTGCTTTCTGGCATTCAGCTTGCATTACTTATATGCGAAAGTACAATTTTATGTTTGTCTAGCAGGCCAAAAACATTGTCATAAAATTGATCGTTTCATTCCTTGAAATTTCCAGCCGTTTGGCCGATCCACTGACTGTAGACTTGCGGAACTTAAATTCATTAGCAAAGGTTTGTTCTTGTGTTACCATATCTCGGTCTGCAATAAATATTCTTGTCTGTTACCATGTACTCCCTCCGTTCACAAATATAAGATGTTTCGGATATTTCAATATGGACTACATACAGACTGAAATGAGTGAACAAACACACTAAAATGCGCCTATATACATCCGAATCAGAAAAATGTTAGAACATCTTATATTTGTGAAAGGAGGTAGTACTACCGGTACTATTATTAAGCTTATGTTTTCAATGCCTATGTAGATAATGAGAAATCGACGTTGCGAAAGAGGGGCTCTGACTCTTGCTTCCGCAGAAGTCAAATTCGAAATTGACAGTGAAACTCATGATCCCCTCGACATAGGTATTCAGATTTGTAAACCTGACTCCTGTACTATTTTTGACTTATATAGTTGAAAAACTTACACTCAAGTTCAACAGGAATATATCAAATTCGCGAGGCAAACCAAATGATTGAAGAGTTTATGTTGGCAGCAAATGTTTCTGTTGCTGAGAAGATTTTGCAGCACTACCCCTTGTGTTCATTGCTACGGTACACATTTGCTCTGTTCTTTCTTATTTTGTCACATTTGGATCAGATTAAGGTTATCACTCTAGCAGTGCAGCCAAGTATATCTGAACTTCTAGGAGATCCCTTTGAAAATATTGATCATGTCTTATTCATAATTGAATACACTTTTTGACCTGTTGACCTGTTCATTCAAGCTTATAGAGCTAAAGTTGCTTAGACTCAATCATTAATAAATACCCAATAGCACAGGAGAGTTCAGTCCAATGAGGTAGGATACCAAAATTATTATGTGACTGTGACGTCTCCTGATGTTACCAAGTTTCATTTGTATGATTGCTCATGAACTCATTCTCGATATTTGATACCAATATTTTCCATTTGACACATTGGCAGCTGTGAAAAAAATACATTCAGCCGTTGACTAGTTTGTCCTTGCCAAGGAATGGTTTAAGAACTTATTTGTGACTGCCATCTTCTTACACTATTTATGCAGCAATTCCAAAGAATGTACCAGTTCTTTCCTGCAGCTGCTTTATCATTTAAATTACCTTTTCTGAGCATGTTAATTTTTCTCTGATTGGCAGGCGTCATCCTAGCCCAACAAAGGAGATGCTTGAGCCATTACTCCGTACCGCCTCTTCTGTTGGCCTAAATCTGGACGTATCATCCTCAAAAGCATTAGCTGAATCACTTGATAATGCGAAGGTGAGAATGACCTGTATTATTTTACTCCACGGTGTATTCACATTTAGGTGACAGTCCTATGTAGCTGGGTAATACTCCCTCCGTTCCTAAATATTTGTCTTTGTAGAGATTCCACTATGAACCAAATACGGATGTACGTAGATGCATTTTAGAGTGTAGATTCACTCATTTTGCTTCCTATGTAGTCCATAGTGAAATCTCTACAAAGACAAATATTTAGGAACGGAGGGAGTATTTGTTTGGAGTGTTATCTCACCTGCCATTAATACTTCACATGCAGAGAGATGACCCGTACTTCAACAAGCTTATCCGGATTTTGGCAACTAGATGCATGACACAAGTATGATAGCAGTTTTGAAGTTCAAAATATTCTGACTTACTGATTTCAACTATATCTATATAACTTATTCTTGCAATACACAGGCAGTTTACTTTTGCAGTGGAGATTTGAGCTTGTCTGAGTATTATCATTATGGGCTTGCATCTGCTCTGTACACTCATTTCACTTCTCCTATTCGCAGATATGCAGGTTAGTTTTTCTTCGCCGTTAGGTGCTTTGATGCTCATTGATATTACTGAATTCCACTGATGATTGTTGGACATAGCAAGTATTTATGCATGTTACTCCCTCCGTAAAGAAATATAAGATCGTTTAGATCATTAAAGTAGTGATCTAAACGATATTATATTTCTTTACAGAGGGAGTACTTTCTCCGGCTATGAGCTAATTATTTCAGTTGGAATAACTATTTTCATGCACCTTTTGTACAAAATGAAAGTTGTTTGTAATGCGTTGTATTTTTTGTAGACTAAGTTAAAATGTAGAAGAAAGAAGAGGAGGAAACGTATAAACTGTGAGATTGGTTTCTGATTCTACATCTTATCGATTGCAGATGTTGTGGTGCATAGGTTGCTAGCTGCTGCTCTAGATATTGCGAAACTTCCACCAGTCTTCCAGGATGGTCCACAACTCACGGGCATCGCTGACAGTGAGTGATCCAATGCACTACTGAAGTGGGTCTTTATATGTTTTGCAACATTTGATACTGACATTATTATCATGTCAGACTTGAATTATAGGCACAGAAATGCCCAAATGGCAAGCAGAGCATCGGTTGAGCTCCACACTCTCATATATTTCAAGACAAGGTACATTTTAATTGTCAATGGCTCTTTTATTTATAGGTTACAGTAGATAGTAAGTTCTTTAAGACGAGGGCTGTAAGAAATAGCTCAAGTCTGTTCTTAGAGTACGTACATATATCATCTGGTGACCATAGTTAGGATCATTAATACTGCTCTACACTTTTAACTGTGCAGGCCTGTGGATACTGAAGCTAGAATAGTAAAGATCAAGGCAAATGGTTTCATAGTCTTCGTCCCAAAGTATGGATCCCCCCGCCTCCCCTCCTCCCCTCTCCCCCCTTTCCCCTCTCTCACCTTCTCATTTATTTGCCAAGTTAGACTAACAATGAACGGCCTGCTCAGAAGTCACAAGTATAAAAAAATCACACCCCAGCAAAGACCTGACCAATCATCTTAAATTAAATTAGTACCAACTTACTGATGGACCTGAAGTAACCCAAACTAGGATCTGCCAATTGCTATTGCATGGATTCTGAGCTTCAATCTTGTTTCTGGTCACTGTTTTGTTCTTAGAAATCTGAGATGGCAGGTCAGCCTAAACAAATTAGTTTGCTGCTAATTGTTTGTAGTTTAATAAGTATTGAGATATTCAAGCATTTGGTTGACACACTATGGGGCATTTTGGTTCCCTAACCTTCCTCAGCGATGCCAAAATTTAGTAATGCTCATGGAGATTAGCTAGCAGGCTAGGATTTGCTTGCTTCCTGTATCTGGTAATGCACCCCAAAATGCCGTACAGAAGTTTCCCAGTTTCTAGGCGTGTAAAAGCTGATACAAAATGTGGCCAGCATTTTTGACGCATGCCAAGATGATGTGGGAAACTATGGGTGGCACATTGATTTGATTGATTAGGCATCCATCCAGCTTCATTTATTGCAGTATCATCTAAACCTGGCGGGTGATTCGCATTTCTTATGATGGGATCAACAAAATCGATATCCATATTCTAATTTGGAGCCCATAAATATTAGGTGCTACGCGGGGCTTTTTCCAAATACTTCCAAATAATACTGTAGTAGTTACTTCAATTCCAGCATCATCCGTGAACCTTTCTTGTTCTCATTTGGTACATTTTCGCAACAGGTTTGGCATAGAAGGGCCCATCTATCTTACGGCGAAGGGAGACAAAGGGGCAGACTGGGTAGTAGACGAGGTGCACCAGAAAGTAACCAAGTCTGGAACAAACATAAGCTATGCTGTGTTGCAGAGTGTCATGATCCATATGGAAGTGGTCGAGCCTCAGCCCCACCGCCCCAAGCTGCAGCTCACCCTCATATGAAACAACAAATGTACAATTGAATTGTAACATTAGCGCATTCACCCTTTTTCCGCTACGACACTGTACTAGGGTCCATTCTTCAATTCAACAAACATAGGTGATATTATGATATTGTCAAATCAGCCTGGAATTGCTCTTCACAGAGTTGTAGAAGTTTCTCCTTATTCATGCTAAAAATCTACCATGACCTGCTGTGTTCCCCTCATCAGTTGCTCATCTCTGGCCATATCATATTGTGTTATCACTTGTCAATGCTTGAAGCACATTTGTACAAATGTGCTCATACAATTTTTTTTTGCTGAAGAGATCCTCAGGACACGAGTGACATGAACACCGTCGACCAGAGGGTGAGCGCCAGGGCTGCAACCAGGTGCGTCCAGAGAAAGACGATGGAGCACTCCTCTTCCCCAACATCAAACAGCTGGGCTATCGTCCCTGCAGTATCAGAGCAACCAACACCTCAGAACATGGTACCCTCTACATCACCAATCACTAGAACACGCTATGGTAGTAAGTCGGCATACCGATGCTCATGGCCGGGGGAACCGTGGACTGTAGAAGGAGAACGTAGCGGTACAGGGGCGATCTTGGCAGGAACCCGAGCTCGCTGGCGGCCTTCACCACGCCGATTCCGCACGCGGGGAGGATGACGAAGCGTATCACGATGATTGATACGACCACCAGGGGCTTCATCGTCGTCCTGCCTCTGCCTGGCCGTGCAAATCTTTGCAAACATGAGCATGGGAAAAATGCGCAAACCGAGAAAGCTGTGAGGAAGTCTGACAGAGAATGAACTGAACCTTTTGTGAGGTTTCCACCGAGTATGAGGACGGTGCATGGTATCGCAGCATCTCTGCTCCCGAGTTTGTGGTGTCATCCAAGAGAAGGTCAGCAGCAGATGGATATCAGGATGCAAGATCCAAGACAAGTGCTGGTATATATCTGGACTTACGCTAGTAACTTGGCGGTGTCTTGGACTACTCGGAGAGGGCCATCTTCCTCCGTAATGAGCGGTCTCAGCTTGTCGATTGCGCCGACGGTAAACCCTACGAGCTACAGAGCGGTAGCAGTTAGATCTGAATTCCAGAGCTCATTTGCATGATCACTGTGGTGCAAAGCAGAGTCACATACCGCTGCAACATTGGGAGGTGACCACAGTTCATTCAGTATCTCTACCAGCAAATCCTTTGCTCTTCTTAAGTAGTGCAGGAAGCTGCCAGCAACATCACTGGAAGGCAAGCTAGAACGTACCTGCATCCCGTATTCAGAAAATGTAAGGTTTGTTCATCACTCCACAGTTTAATCTTTTCAAGGCAATGAAAGAGTTTGCTACTACTACTTACCGGGTCGCTCTCTACATCCTCATGAAATTCCCCTGACGACAGGGGAAGAAAAGCCGCATGATTGCCATTTTCGGCTTCTCCTGAGTCTTCTTCTTTCCTCATGTTAGTTGTGGGATCACCACATTTCTTGTAAAGCTGAGCAGATCTCTTCATGACGCTGTAGCTATGAGTCCAGATAAAGAAATTCCCTAGCTGCAGGAAACGTTTCTGAATCCAAAATGTACCATGCATGACAGTCCTGACAGAGGAGTTGATCAGGCGCGGCGATGAGCTTACCGCCATGGAGAGCGAGACGTAGGAGAGGCCGAGAGATTTGCAGGTGTCGGCATCACCGAAGGGGCTGTCTTCCTCGTTGCAAATCGCCGGAACAATCATCAGCGGAATAGTTCCCCAGTTACCTGAAAATGTACATGTAGGTTAGCACTAAAAAAGAGATGGAGAACAAAACTGCTATTGCTGTGTGAGTGGTAACTTGCCTGCTGAGCTGCAAGCAATGACAAGCCCCTGAAGATGTGCTCCTGGCTTCAGGGCCTTGACGGCCAGCCACCCGAGAGCCGCTCCGATGAGGAATATGATGCCCATGTTCACTGGCATGAACCACCTTAGCTCATCATCAAGTTCAGAATTGAGCAATCAAATAGCAGCACAATTTTCATTAATCTATGTAAATATTCTACTAGTGGATAATTCGATCGAACCAGGAAATGATGTCCTTGAGCGTGACGGTGCCTGCCAAGCTCGAGAAGACGAGCGACGGGACGAACACGATGTAAACAACCTGCAAAATCAAGCAAACAAATGGATTGAAATCACTGTTATGTCTTGTAAACCTCTAACTGATGCCATGCGTGACGACCTTGTTTATGTGCCTCCGAGCATCGGAGGTGAGGACGTCGAAACGGCTGGACGCGAGGCAGGCTCCGAGGCCGCCGGCGAGGAGGACCTGCAGGACGGGCAGCCATGCCACGGCGAGCAGAGACCAGAACCTCATCTGGTCCTGCAGGAGGCGACGAGAGAGAGCGAGAGAGAGTTGCAGCTGATCGGAGATCGTTCTGGTGCGAATGGCTTTGAAGAACTGGCCCAAGAGCCCAAGCCGCTGTGCTGTGCTGTGCTGTGCTGCCCATGCAGCGGCGCAACCGCTTTGTTGGCTGCTGTGGCCGCACACGTTGTGCTCATCAGGCCACGCGTGTCGATCAACGCCCAGACCCAGCCAGATGCTTTCCATTTGCGCCGAGGCGCAGACGACGAAAACGACTTTTGGTTGTTCAGCAGGGGAGAGAAATACAAATTTCGTTCGACAGCTCTGCCTTCGGCCTCGTTTCGGCGTTGGAGGCGCAGGAACGAACCAAAAGAGAGAGACGGATGGGCGGATGGCGAGCCATCTGTCCTCTGAAATCACCAGGTAAGAGTGTATGTATTTCATCCTAGAGAAGTTTAGAGCATCTCCAGCCTTCCGCCCCGCAAGGGCTTGAAATTGCATCGCTTGGGGCCAACCAGCGGTAAGTTCGTCTAGCCGAGCTCTTAGAATAAATCCGAGGTACGCGGTTGATCCTTCGAGGAACAAGCAATCACAGACAATGACGACACCGAGATTTATTAACGAGGTTCGGCGAACTCGTCTACTCCCCGGGGCAATGACTACGGGCGCTCCTTCTCGAAATACCGCAACACCGGCCACTCTTTTTAGATAAAAGGCCAGAGCCCGACTTTATAGATAAAGCCACCAGGCAGAGTTAACAGTACCCAAAAAACCATTACACGAACAGAAGGTATCAACCAAGAACAACAAGGGGAAAGTCTAAGTACATGGCTCCCAGGCCAGTACACGGCACGTAGACTGGAGGAAGAGCAGATAACGGAGCAACGCAGTAACGCCTACGAGCCCGCATGGACTGGAGAGATGGAAATAGCAGAATTGCGGATCTTGGCCAACATGGCGTCGAAAGCATCCCTGTCCTCCTCCTTAGTCAATAATCTCCACTGCTACAGAAATATACAATTCTTAAATAAGCAATCAGCAGGCTTAGCAGGGAAAACATGCTCAATAGTAAATTTATTCCTTGTTGTCCACAAGGACCAGCACATGGCAGCAAAGCCAACCCAAAATAATCTCCTCTGGGCCCCAACCAAGGAATTAGCTGAGGCGCGCAAGTCAGCGAAGGAGGTCGGAGCCCAGGAAACGTGCATCCAGGATCTAATGCAGCACCAAAACAACTTAGCCAAGACACAATTAAAGAAAATGTGAGGTGTATCTTCTCTCATGCCACAAAGAGCACAACAGTCAGAGCCCGGGCCATTACGTTTACGGATTTGATCACCCGTAGGCAAACGCCCACGAGAGGCTTGCCAGAGGAAAACCTTAATCTTAGGGGGGGATCTGAGCTCTCCAAATCCACTTAAATTTTGAGGTGGTGGGACCCACAATGAGCTTGCTGTATAGAGATTTACCGTTACGGACGACAAACTTGACAAGGCCTTGGAAGATAGGTTGAAGTTTCACAAGGTCCCGCCAAAACTGGGACGCCCAGAGGCTCGGGCAATCATAGGACTGCAAGAGGGAAAGTATTTCGCCTTTAAGATGTTGAACCAAAGAGGCTTTTCCTGGGGGATGGTCATGATTTTCCACCACCATTTGATGATCAGACATTTGTTCATAACAAGGGTGTTAATAATGCCCAGCCCCCAAGGCGTTTGGGCTTACAGATGAGGTCCCATTTGACCAAGCGATACTTGCGCTTGTTATCAGGCGCGTTCCAATAAAAGGCCCCTCTATGTTTGTCAAAACCAGCGTGAGTGCCCATAGAAAGGAGGTAGAATCCCATCATGAACATAGGGAGGGAGGAGAGACAAGCATTAATTAAGGCCACCTTGCCCGCTTGAGTGTTATATCTGCCTCTCCATGGCATCACACGATTCCCCACCTTGGTCACCACAGGAGCGAAGTCCTTGGCATGAAGTTTATCAGATGAAATAGGCATACCCAAATATTTAATAGGAAAAGATCCCAGAGAACAATTTAATAGGCGAGCCACCCTTAAAGCTTCGGAGTCTGATACTCCCGTGACAATAACTTCGCTTTTAGAAAAATTGATCTTAAGCCCCGAGAGAGCTTCAAAACAAAGGAGAAGGAATTTGAGGTGGACGATGCAGATATCATTAAGTTCCACCAAGATGATAGTGTCATCAGCGTATTGAAGGTGCGTAACACCTTCTGGAATAAGGTGGGAGCTAACCGGGGAGATATGGCCGGCCTCCGCAGCTTTAGAAAGGATGTTGGAGAGAGCGTCCGCAACGAAATTGAAAAGGATGGGAGATGCCGGGTCGCCTTGCCGCAGGCCCCTAGAGTTCTTGAAGAAGTTACTAATATGACCATTAACATTGATGGCAGTGTGGCCCCCCATGACCAATTGCAAGATACGATGCACCATGCCACTGTCAAAATCTTTAGCTAAAAGGACCTGTCGCAGGAAGCCCCAGCTTACCAAATCGTAGGCCTTTTCAAAATCCAATTTGAGAATAACTGCCTTGTTCCCGGACTTGTGGATGTCATGGACAATTTCGTGGAGGCAGAGGACTCTGTCCAGTATGAAGCGACCCCTGATAAAGGCAGACTGAGTTTGAGAGAGGATGCGGTGGGCAACCGGGGTTAGGCGAGTAGCCAAACATTTGGCTAGAAACTTGGCAAAATTATTGATGAGCGCGATAGGTCTAAACTGAGAAATTAAATCAGCACCCTTAATCTTAGGGATCAGAGAGATAACCGCATAATTAAGCCTGGAGATATCAACTGTCCCCAGGCAGTAGCCTTGAATAACTTCGCAGATCAGGTTTTTAAGAATGGGCCAGAACTTTTTAAAGAAGGGAATAGAGAACCCATCTGGGCCAGAGGCAGAATTAGGATTAGCCTTCTTAATAGCAGAAAAGATCTCCTCTTCAGAATAAGGGATCATCAGATCCACGTTTTCCTCCGCAGAAACCAGATGATCCTGGGTCCAAAAGTTAGGAGAAAGCCTGAACCCCTGGTCAGGCTTGGCAGAAAGAAGGGAAGAGAAGAAGGAGACCACATGGTTAAGAATGACGCCCTGGTCAGAGGTTCGAATCCCATCAATAATCAGGCTATCAATAAGACATCTGCGCCGTCTCCTATTAGCAATCGCAGAAAAGTAGGCAGAGGGGGAATCTCCTTTTAGAAGTCAGTTGGACGAGCCCCTCTGGCGCCAATATATTTCATTAAGCCGGTGGAGATGCATCAAATCGCGCTCCAGGGAAAACCGAAGGGACCAAGCATCATCAGAGAGGCCCGAGATATCAGCCCGAGCATCAAGGGCCTCAATCTTGGCCAGGAGAAGGGCCTTGTCTCTGCGCTCCTGGGCCGAGCGATTCCGGGACCAACCCTGAAGAAATTTGCGAACAAGGGCCGAGCAGCTATGCCAGTCATCCATGGGTCCGAAGGAACGATGTGGAGCAGACAGGATGGCAGTAATTTTAGAGCTAAGTAGATCGCAGAAACCCTCAATAAGGAGCCAAGATGCGTCAAACTGAAACCTAGGGGGGGAAAGAGTTGAGCGGGTCCCAGCATCCAGAATAAGCGGAGCATGGTCCGAGCCAACGATGGCCTTAGATTTAAGCGTAGCTAGCGGGAAAAGCAAATCCCAGTTTGAGCAAACAAGGACACGATCCAAGACGGAGCGAATAGGAGAAGGTTGGTGATTGGTCCAGGTGTATCTAGATCCCACCCTAGGAATCTCGCGAAGAGCACAGGAGCTGATGAAATCATTGAAAGCGTTGGCCAAAGACCACGAAAAATTATTAGTGTTCTTGTCCGCCGGAGAGCGCAGCAAATTAAAATCACCACCAATCACCAGGGGGAGAGAACAAGCTTCAACTTTGTTGGAAATTTCGTCCAAAAACAGGGGAGAAAGAGAGTGGTCGACCGAACCGTACACAACCATAAATTCCCAGAGGGAGTTGAGCTGACGATGAAAAAGCACAATGCTGGCCCAAAAGATCCCATGGTCGAAAGTGACGAAATCAAAGACATCCCGTTTAGATCCTAACAGCATGCCACCAGAATGACCCGAGGAGGGAAGGAAGTTCCAATCAAAATGATCCGCCCCCGCGATAGACGACAGTTCATGAGGAGAGAAGGAAGACTTAAAAGTTTCGATCAAGCCAATCAGGTCAATATTGTCCCCCCTGACAATATCCTTAATTTGGTCTCGACGTCCCCGAGCGCCGAAACCTCTGATGTTCCAGAAGAGGGCTTTCATTTATAAGAGAGATTTTTAATGCGCAAACTCGACCTGCAAGGGGCTAAGCAGGATTTAGACCGGCCACTCGGGCGCCGGCACAAGCCGCCGGCACCCTCTTGCGAGCCTCTCGCTATCTATTCATCATGGGTTACGACGTGGGGTGCCTCCTCATATATAAGAGGCCAAGGGTACAACATGTCCGAATCCGACACTACACGTATCCTACCCACACTACAACACCAAGTCCAAGCGTAACCCAACTAGTACAAAATATTAGACACAAACACAACAAACTCCACCTTGGCGAATATTCTCCACCATCTTGAATTTGTCCATGAGTCAAACTTCCATGTACTCCGGACTTGTGTTGTCTTCTTCATAGCTTACTGAGAGCTACTCGACGAGTCTGCCCCAGACCCGCCGCCGCCGTGAGACCCCACTGCTACTCCCGCAACTCCAGTCTCCGTGACTCCACCTGCAATAGTGCTCCCTTGCAACTTGTAAAGATGCGAAGCCGTCCTTGCTCCAATCATCACGGTCACCTCATCTTCTATGATTCTCATGGTCTTCTTATCCCGATCACAATGGAATACCTACCACCATCATGAAGAACACCAAGCGAAATTAGATTCCTCCTTAGCCCTGGCACATGCTTGACTCCCCGAAGCATCCACTCAACTCCGTCAAACATCTTGATTTTGATGTCACCTACTCCAGCAACACGATAACCTGTGTCATC